AAACAGAGTTACTGAGCTGCAGCCAGGTTTTCAACCCACAACCTCCGTGAACCGCCCGGTGACATCACCTCACTCAGTGTGCAGAGCTGCTGACTTTACCCCTGTAGAAGATTCAGTTATCAAATTCAACTTCAAAACGTTTTCTAAACTTCAGTTGAGACACGAGAGGGAATCTAAGCAAGAATTTCCCCCAGAATATGTTTACAGTAAAATACTTTTGATAAATCCTAAAATCTGTCCCGAACAAAAAGCGTTGACAGGAAGGAGGAGAACGTGTTCGCTGTTGTCTTGTTGTGTTTCACGTCCTGGTGTCTGGTTCTGCTGCTGCTTGTTTGGTTAATTGTTCTCTCGCCGCTGTAGCTTGCTGAGCTGAGGCAGGAGTGCGAGGCCCGTGGTCTCGACACCAAGGGAAACAAAGGGGAGCTCATCGCTCGACTTCAAGCCTACCTGGAGGAGCACGGTGAGGACGCACACTGTTGCTCATATTACACGTTAAAAACACAAAACATCTTTTTACCCTCCTTCGTGTGATAACGCCACTGATTTCATCATCTGCTCCATCTTTCCCTTTGGCGGGCGCAAATTCCTTCATCTCATATTTCAAACACCAGAGGAAGACGTAGACGTCGATGATGTGCTGGCGGAGGACACCGAGGTAACGTGGTGGTTTTTATTCCATGTTCTCTACACTGTCACTCACAGACCATGTTTGAGCCTCGTGAGTAAAGTTTCTGTTTCTATTTTCAGGACTTCGCTAAAGCGGAGACTGTCAACAATGTGAGCGTCGACAAGGAGTCCGAACCTGTCGACTGTGAGACGTAAGTTTTATTTTACTTCTTAACAAACGAACAAACAAAATATGACGTTGCGCTTGGCAATTAGCATCCTCTACAGCTAATTCAAACTTGTGTGTATGTGGCCTCACGTTTGAGGAGGTATTGATAATCAGGTTTTATTTATACGTCTTTGGTTATTTTAACTCTTAACATCTTTTCTTACAGACCCACTGAAAAGAAGGTGGTGAAAATAGCTCCTCCATCAACCTCCAGCGAAGTATGTATGACTCTAATGTGATTGTATATTTTAAAATAAAGATTGTCACATGTGGAAGTTTTTTTTTTACCTTTAAAGCAGCAGCTTCAAAATGATTTTGGTGATAAACTGACTTGGAACAAGAAGAATGTTTCCATGCACGTATAAGACGTAGATTAAAACGTCAACTTGGAAAGACGAAGAGATTCGAGAGCTTTCGGTGATAAGGGCGATAAAGAACGAGTCTGACCCGGACAGTTTCCCGTCTGTTTCCTCATACGTGAAAGACCAACTGTTGACCCAATCTGGAGTTCACTGTTGCTCAGCAGAAGTTACACAGTGTTGTTTTAAATAGATCTCACTCTAAAATCCGGCTGGAGTTTCTGTACAGTGTAACTTTGGTTCAACCACAGATTCAAATATTGTGTCTTAACTAGTTGCAAGTAATCATCAGCAGGACAAGTTTATATTTTAAAATGCTTCCTTTTGTTGAGCAGAGGCTACAGAAGAGAGCTGAACGTTTCAACATGCCTGCGACAGCTGAAAGCAAGAAGGCCATACGCGCCGCGAGGTAAGGCTCCGACCATTCAGGTCTTATATTTATCTTTATAGTCTTGATTTCTAAGAGTAAAGACAACAATGAATGTCATCGGATCAGAAAAAACTAATTTAACATTATTTCTCAAACAGTTTGTCTGAAATATCACAGTTTATAAACCCTCTTAATTTTCATGTTTCTTCCTCATCACTTCACACTAAGTTTCAGGATTCTCTTCCTAACTTAGTGTGTCCATGTCGTCATAACTGATAGAAACAATAACCTGTTGTTATAGGTTTGATTTATACCATAAATATCATGGTGGAATTTGTTTTTCCTCAGGTTTGGTTCGTCCACAGAGGCTTCCAGTCCCGCTGCAGGTCAGTAGTGCCCCTCTTTCACTGAACTCACTCACTGCTGCAATGCTACGTATCAACATTTAACATATCTGCTGTTTCTCTCTCTCTCTCCCACAAATCCATTCATCTTTCTCCCAAACAGGCGCCGTCGCAAACAGTAAAGCTCCTGTAAGTGTTGTAGTAAAAGTATTTACGCATTTATTTATTCCTTCGTTAAATGACAGAACTCTAAGTGGATTGTTCTTGTGTCTCTCAAAGGTGAGCGCTGAACAACTGAAGAAGAGAGCGGAAAGATTTGGCATTACCGTTTCCTCCATCTCACAAAAGGTAAACTTGAACTTATATAGTTGATCTAAAACAGATTCATGTTGCAACTTCACTACGTGTTGTTTTTCCTCATTTTGCAAAATTATCTGGTTAATTAAAATGATAAATTCCTCGGTGAGCACTTACTTTCTCCATTTCCTTTTTTAATCGCTCCCAAACTGTGTCGTAATGTTATATTCTCACAATTAACCGTTACACTCACACTTCCAAGTGCCATAGATGGAAATTAAGGGACTTGTAATATAAAATATTACATTTATCTGCCCTTGAGTCTAAAGTTGGCATCAGATTCAATCCAACTTGTTTTTCTAGATTGAAGAGGATGAAAAGCTGAAGAAAAGGAAGGAGAGGTTTGGGATCTCTGCGAGTGCAGGTACAGGCGGCGCAGACGATGCTGAGGTAACGTTTTAATCTCTCCTTGAATCCGTTGCATTTAACTGCACTTACATTTTATTACAGAAACATCCGAGGGAATGAAAAAGAAACATAAGATAACGAAAGTCCATGTTTTCTCTTTGTTTTTCTTGCAGGCAAAGAAAATGAAGCGCAGCGAACGATTTGGGAAAGTGTAAATAGAGTTTTAGAGATGGCTGTTTTTGTAAAGCATTTTCATGGCTGTACAACAGAGACTCCCGAGGACGACAAACGTCACTAATAGGATTCCTGTAAATCAAAAGTATAGTTCAATACAAAAGCTTTTGGGTGAGTTAGATCATTTCAATGGTTTGGAAAACAAACAGAAAATGTCGACGAGCATCAAGTCAGTGGGATATTATAAATTGTTTTTATTTGTTTTTCACGTTCATTACTTAATGTAGCAACATAACTTGTCCTGGTAGCCGCTTATTTTCGATTTCCCCCGTTTTTCATGTTGGAGTTGTGGGTGTGAGTTCCTGTGTGATGTAGACGTTAACGTTTTTCTAGCCATTTAACAAATAAGATTTAAAAATAGTATATTCTCCAAATCTCAGGTAATTAGCTACTTTATGATCCGCAACTAAAATTCACTTGTAATTTCGTGAAAGAAGCTGAAGATCTGAGGGTGGGGGGGGAGGGAGTTGAGGGACGGTGGACGCATTTTATGAAGCAGCTGCAGGAAGTGTCTCGTTCGGAGACGGGTTCAGCTGCCAGGGCCCAATGAAATGAAATTCAGATGTTTGTTCAACTGTAATCCGTCCAGTTAAGATCAGAAACCAGGGATGAGTTTACAGTTCAGCAAGGAAAGGAATAGAAACTAGCATCTCTTGCTTTGTGCACATGCTTAAACCAACATGGCGTCACAAGATGAATTGGAATTTTTGACCGCAGAAATAGTATTTATTCAAATATTACGTCTGTGAAACTGAATAATGAAGAAATACGACATTGGAAGTGTGTGTTTTTATCAGAGTTTGTGCAGTTAATTATTCTAATTTTCAATTTAAATGATAAAACTCGCTTGTTTGTATTCAATTGTACTTTTGGTTTGTCCAACAACTGGTTATTTACTTGTTTTCTTTTTTGGGGTTCCATTGATACACTGCTTCAGTTATCTGTCCATTTTCTAACATTTTGTGATTTAAAAAATAAATTGTTTTTGATTTTTTTGAAATCTGCTTCGTTTATTTCTCTTTTTTTTTTAACAGCAAAGAAGAAGAAGAATGATCTTGATTGATTATCTCAGATATTTATACGTCTGATTGTCCCTCGTGTGATAAACAATGTTTTAAGATAAAAACTATATCTACAGGCAAACTTTGATCAATCACACACCCTGAATTAAACACCATTAAAGACATTAACATGATATACAAACCTGTAGTGGACAGGCAGCAGCAAGTTGTATAACCAATATTTACTTGTGTGTTGTTGTTGCACCTTGTGAAGACCAGAGGTAAAATGTGGTTTATGAAAATGGGTCATACAAATATTCAGTAAAAATATTGTGGACCATACAAATACACATACAGAGGTTTATTATTATGACTTACTCTGTAGCACAGTCTGGCAACACAACACACTCTCTGACTCACACTCACTATTTTGTTATGTCAGATTCTCTAAATCATGTTTTCAAAGTGAAACGTGTTTCAGTCTGAGCCTGATTTTACTATATTCATCTTGTCTTCTACGTCCATCTGTCCGTCTGTCCTCCGTCCATCTGTCTCTTCCTCTCTCTCTCTTTTACTTGTCATTTAGCTGACGCCTTCATCCAAAGTCACTTCCAATTAGTGCGTTCAACATCTATGAGGGGCCACTCGTGGTTCAGCATCTTGTCTCTCTCTCTCTTTATACATCTCTTTCTCTCTGTCTCCCTCTCTATCCATCTGTCACTCTCTCTATCTCTCTCCATCCATCTATCTATCTATCGATCTGTCTCCCTCTATCTCTCTCTATCATCTATCTATCTATCTATCTATCCATCTATTTCTGTCTGTCTCTCTCTCTCTCTCTCTCTCTCTCTGTCTCCCTTTCTATCAATCTCTCTCTCTCTCTGTCCATCTCCCTGTCTCCCTCACTATCCATCTCTCTCTCTGTCTCTCTCTCTCTCTGTCCATCTCTCTCACCATCTAACCATCTGTCTCTCTCTCTCCATCTCTCTCTAACCATCTCTCCCTCTCTGTCTCCCTCTGTCTCCCTCTCTCTCTCTCTCTGTCCATCTAATCATCTGTCTCTCTCTCTCTCTCTATCCATCCATCTCCCCCCCCCCCCCCCCCCCCCATGTTATTGAAGTCGAACAGCCTCGGCCCCGCCCCTCGCTGTGACGTATGTTCCTGTGACGCAGGGAAATTTTAAACTCTCGTCCTTCTCAGTGATGGCGGCTTCGTTTCGTTCTCTCCCCGCAAGCTGTAATAACAAATGGTACTACACCCGGCAGCAGATCGACAACAACCCATCTCGGCGAGCGGGACTCGACCCGGACAAGGAGCTGTCCTACAGGCAACAGGCGGCCAACCTGCTCCAGGACATGGGCCAGCGGCTCAATGTGTATCTTTTGTCGGGGGCCACTAGCCGCTGTTAGCACGTTAGCTAAGCGAGGTGCAGCTCCTCATGATGCCGGTGCGGCGGACGGCGCCTCCGGTGCTTGTGTAACCGGGCTCGCCTCGAAGGCCCCCGGTGTCGGTGCCGGTGTCTCTTCCCCGCTTCCGGCGGCGGTTGTTGCGCGTCATCGACACCCAACTGACGTTACCCCCCGAGCGGCGCAGCAGCCTGGCCGAGCCGGGGCCGCGGAGGCCTGTGTGGTCGGCCCGGGCCTCCAGGACGTTAGCATTAGCATCGCTGCTAACTGCAAATGTTTGCGGGTGGATTGTGCAGAGTGGTGCAGCGTGTTGTGCACCGAGACACCGCGTGTTTAGTGAACGTGTCGCACGCACTGGACGCGTCGGGCTAATGCTGTTGTGTTGTTTATTTGTAACATGTTCCGGTTAACAGCAGGAGCTGTGCAGCTAGCATGGGTGCAACTGCACTGCTCTGTAGCTGCTGTGACAACATCATGATGCCATGTTAAACTCCTAACGTGTGTTGTTTCACGTGCAAACACCTTTTAGTCCCTTTATACCATCAGGTGTGTAACAGTGCAGACGTTGTCCTTAACTTCCATGTGTCAGGTCCCAACTTACGATTAATACAGCCATTGTGTACATGCATCGATTCTACATGGTCCAGTCTTTCACCAGATTTCACAGAAATGTAAGTATCGTCCTGTCGTCTGCACCTCAAGGTTCCCTGATGCAGCTGCCAGCGAGGAGGCATTCGTCACTTTACGGTGTTCTGTGTCTTCTCCTCTGCCAGGTCATTTCTCCCGCTGCCCTCTTCCTCGCAGCTAAGGTGGAGGAGCAGCCCCGGAAGCTGGAGCATGTTATCAAAGTGGCCCATGCATGCCTCAACCCTCAGGACCCGTCTCCAGATGTACGCAGCGATGTAAGTGAAAGTTATCTGCATTTAGTTTGGACTCCTCGTGAGTTTACTCAATAGAGCATCTTGGCAAAATTGGTTTAGAGACAATGTGTTACTTGAGAATTACGAGAATTCCTATTGGTTTATTTGTTCTACCGAACAACGAATTGGAATTAATCTTTTATTCACAGCAGTGGGCCATTAACTTAATGATTGTTGACAGTGACACTCCCCCATCACATCTCCCTTCTCCTGATTTAATCTATCTTTGATTGAGGCCAACAGCTATTTTAACTCTCTTCTGTATCGTTGCGTTTTCACATTTAAACCGGGTGTTTTTATTAAGAGCTGTTGGTATTTCTGATGTTGGGGTTGCATGATACATTCTTTGACAAAAATGCATCCCACTGTCTGTTGGTTTTCAGTCATCCAGGTAATGTGATGTCTGTTATTTGTAAAACAAGAGCATCTGTACAGGCTACGCAGCTTTAATCAGCTCCACGTGAAAGGTAGGTTTAATATGTCAGACTGTAAGACACCCAACCTTTCATTTTATCTTGGATGCATTAAGATGAATGGTATCCAGAATCACAAAGCATGTGCAGTTGCTCTTGTTCGACAATGGATAGAGGGCGCCCAGTGAGTAACGTGCCTGTCCTCTCAACCTCAGGCCTACCTGCAACAAGCCCAAGACCTGGTCATTCTTGAGAGCATTATACTCCAGACCTTGGGTAAGTTTGGAAGGAAGAACTGGGTCCCTTGATTCCCCCCCAGAAACATGTGATTGTAAAATAGTGCTAACATTTTTATTACTTTTGTCCACAGAGACTCTATATGCTGTTAGAAGCTATTTGAAATTGATGTTCATGCTTCATATTAGCGTTCATGTAACCCACCGGTACATAACCCATTATTTCCTTTTGTTTTTGTAAATCTCACATTTTCCTCTTCATGTTTTTTAGCATTTTTTTTTAGGTCTGTGTGATGACGTGCTGCATCATCATCAGATCGATGGTTCTTAGTATGTCCGCTCTAGATGTTTGATCTCATGCCATGTTTTCAAGTTTGGAGTTGTATAAAATAACACTCTTTGATTTAATTCCCCGTCAAGCGACAGAATATGAGGCGAGAAATACATTTAAAACCGAACAGACATGTCATTAATGTTTTTCACATTCAACAGCTGATTTTTCTCATGTTGTCCAGGATGTTATCAGAAGACTATGCAAAGAGACATTCCAGATTATTCTTTGCAAAACTTACTTTGGTGTAACAGCATCAACTTTCTGATTTCCAGGGATTAATGATTACATCTGAATGAGGGGAAAAAAAATCTTTGACATGGAAATTGGGTTTTAGTTCTACCACCTGGTGCATATATTAGTTCTTAAGCTCTTTCTCCTTGTCCTCCTTTTATTGCAGCTTTTGAAATCACCATTGACCATCCACATACTCATGTTGTCAAGTGCACTCAGCTTGTCAGAGGTGAGCATCAACTCTTAAGTTGTGAAATTCTGTTTAGAAATTTCAGCCCAGTTGTAAATTGGCAAATCTTTTTTTTTTTTTTTTTATCTGCCGGTTTTAATTGTATTTCTTTGTTCTGTTGTTGTTCCAGCGAGTAAGGATCTGGCCCAAACATCATACTTCATGGCTACCAACAGGTATAGTCACAGCTCACTGTAAAACACAGGCTTTCATGTTTTCCGTGTAATCATCAAACTCAATATACTGAATGTCTGTTCTCTTTTTCTCTCTCTCTCTCTCCCCTTCTTTTTGTTTTTTTGTTGCCTTCCTGGGACGTATCCTGCCACGTAGTCTGCACTTAACCACGTTCTGCCTGCAGTATAGTCCGCCAGTCGTGGCCTGTGTGTGCATCCACCTCGCTTGCAAATGGTCCAACTGGGAGATCCCCGTGTCCACAGATGGCAAACACTGGTGGGAGTATGTTGATCCCACAGTCACCCTGGAACTGCTCGATGGTATGTGCTGTAAATGACGTCATATTACAAGCAGGAATGATGTGTTTATGAAGGACTTCGACCATAAGCGGATGATCTGATGAGTTTTTAGGATAATTATAATTGAACCGTTACATGTATCTTCCCTCAGAGCTCACACATGAGTTCCTGCAGATTCTGGAGAAAACTCCCAGCAGGTTGAAACGGATTCGCAACTGGAAGGTAAAGCTTCATTCCCCGTTGATCCTCTATAACCTGCAGAGCACACCCCCGTCATCCATCAGGGGTGTAACGATTCTCCAGATCCATTATTCACTTCAGACCAGTGGCGGCTGGTGATCAAATTCATTGGGGGGGGCTCAGTGTCGGGGAGGGGACAAGATCTGTCTTCTAGAATCGCGACACTTTGGCCGTTTGAACCGTGAAGTCTCAGTTTGAGAATCATGACAACATTTTCAGTTGGCTCACTTAACCACCACTATCTGTTTCTTTGATCTACAGGCTGGAGGTCAGACACCCAAAGCCAAGCCTAAAGTCCAGGAAGACGGTGACCAGAGGGACACCATGATGAGCATGATCTCCATGGCTTCATCCGAGAGTACTGTTGCAGGTTTGATGAGCCTCTCGGCTCCGCCATCTGCCTCATCTTCTTCATCTTCGGGTGAAAAGGAGAGGGGCGCGTCTGGCAGTGCGTCGACTTGGAGTGGAAAAGGTCAGGCTGTAGCTGAACAGCAGCAGCAGGCCAACAACGAGGTCCATGCCCCGGCTAAGGTGTCGCTGAGTGAGTACCGCGCAAAGAATGCTGACGTCCTGGCCGCCCAGAAGAGGAAGCTGGAGAACATGGAGGCTAGTGTGAAGAGGGACTACGCTAATGCTGCCCAGGCTCTCATTGGTCAGCAGCAGAGGAAAGAGAAGCAGCATCATCACCAGCAGACGAGCTCCTCCTCTTCTGACATGTCTAGTCCTTCGCCCATTATTCTGAAAATCCCCCTGGAGAAGGACAGACATGACAGGGGCTCTCTGAAAATGCGTTTCCCTGTAGCAGGGGGCGGAGGCAGCGGGCACGGCAGCAGCGCCCGAGGTCAGGATCAGGACATTAAAGTCAGAATACGAGTGCCTGAGAAACAAAAGGGGAGTTCGGGGGAGGAGGGCAAGAGCAGGGACAAGCATAGGGACCGGTCTAATCATCACCATCATCATCACCACCACCATCATCATTCCTCCTCTGGCAGTGCCTCACTTTCCTCTTCACATAAACATTCATCTAGCTCTAGCGGAGCAGTAGGTAGCAGCAAAAAAGTCCCCAGCGACTCCTCCAGAACAAGCGCTTCATCCTCCTCCGCATCACGCAAGAGGACACACTCCCAGGATGCCGCAGCAGTCTCCCACCCTGCCACAAAAGTCAGCAAGTCCTCTAGGAATCCCTACCAGCTACCGTCCTTGTCTTCCTCCTCTGGGCAAACTTTGGGGCAAGGTCCTGACATTCTCCCCGCTCTGGGCCTGCCCCACCACCAAGGGAGCTACTCGCACACCAAAAGCGACAAGACGGACACTAACGGGCACGGCACAGCAGGCGGAGCCCAGTCGAACGAGTACCAGGACACGTTTGAAATGCTTAACTCTCTTCTGAGCGCGCAAGGGGTCCAGCCATCCCAGCCGTCCATGTTTGAGTACAGATCCCAATATGGGGAGTATCGGTACAGCGGCGGCTCGCGAGGGAACAGCGCCAGACCACCTCCACTGCCTTCAGACCCACCTCCACCCCTTCCCCCGCTGCCCAAATGAGTTCCCGATCAAGAGATGTTATGTACATTATGCTTGACATCACAAAACACCCATCTTGTTACATCAAGTATTTCTTTTTTCTTTTTCTTTTTGACTCAACCAATGTTTTTTTATTGGGCTTCGGTGTGACAGCAGAGAAATGTTATTGTGAGACAAAGGATTTTTTTGTTTTTACAGTTCACTTCTGGGGCAATAATAAGGCTTGAAAAGCAAAATGTGATGAAAAGATGACAGGAAGGTGTAGATATTTTATCTTTTATTAACTGAAATGCAACGATGGGACCTGGTTACTGTTGTAGAGGAATTCATCGTCTTGAAATGATGTGGAACCTGAAAGATTTCCATCACGTACCTGTTAGGTCTTCTTACCGATTGTCTTTTTATAATGTTTTTATAGTATGTTATTTATTAATTGAATACTTAAAAAAAACATGTCCCCCTTTTCTACCTTTTTTAAGGCTTTCCCTCTATTATTTTGGGCAGAGGGATCATTCTTCATCAAGACTGTACAGGCTAGTTTGAGAGTGCATGTCTCCAAAGCCATCTTTTCAATATTTTTGTCTTTTTTAATTTTTTTTTTTTAACCGCCATAACCTAAAAAATGGTAATTTAGCCCAGCCCTGGTGTTAATTTTCTTTTCTTCATTATTTTGTCAACTTGTACAAAGATTGTAAAATGTTTTAAACAAACATGAATTATTTTTTACATTTTGTTATAAAAATTGCAAAAAAAAAGAGATGTAAATTAAGGAAGCTTGTACTTTTGTTTTTAGATTCCCAGTGTTGCAGTCATTGTTTTAAATGGTTGTAAAATATTCACATTCAGTTCTTTAATGATTACACTAATGGACAAATGTTCATACCAAGAAATATACATTTATGGTTTATCAAAGGGTTCAGAGTTCAAACATATCTACCCAGTATGGTCACAATAAAGAAGCTATGAGCAAAAAAACCTTTGTGGTGACCATATTGTTCACAGTATACAACAAAGTATTTACAATACAGATTATAAAAGACTAATCATGGCTCATCTGTCTGTCTTTATGGTTGTGTTTCATGTATGCATTTCCTTTGGGGATGTTTTTGCATTTGTAAACCACAGTGTATGCAGTGTCAGTTCCCTCTGGTCTAAATTAGTCATGTTGTCTTTTGACTCCATACCTTTAAAATAATCCCTTCACACGCCATGAGTCCTCAAAATGTTTACATGTGTTCTTTTAGTTGTGTGAAATCATACACGGCAGACAGGTTCTCTACATACCTCCACTACAGTACGGTCATTTGCATGAAGCATAATACTGTAATTAATCTGAATCAATGTTTAAATTTTGTGTTGGAGCAAAAAAAAAGTGAAAGAGGTGCTATTTGTTGGCAAGAAAATCGGGTATCATCTGTATATTTCATTCATATTAAGCTTTATATGGTTTTGATTGTATAGTATTACTGCTAATTAACCTGCGTTCTGTTTGTTTCGGTTTGTAATGAAAAACATATTTGTTTTAGGCGGTTCACAGTAATGCAGTACAACAAATCAGCCATACAATTGTAAAATATTTTTGTTCCCTTGCTCAATGGAAATTGAAAGAGTACAGCTCTTTGCTCAGGCAGCAGAGGTTTTATTAGTCATTGTAACAGGGAAACAGTAAATGCACTGAATATTTATCTCAGTAGGATTGCCTACAATGCAACTGACCATGTGTTACATGTGTTGTGGTTAGACTATTATTAGAGTGGATGTCCAATATATCATTGCCATTTAAAAACATTTTCTTTGATCCGGACAAATCTTCCCGTCTAAGTATTAACTTTATGCTGTGAAAGAGTCGTACAAAAGGACACATTTTTTTAAATAAATCCATATGTGAGAAAAACAGAAGACACTCATGCAACCTATCAATGCAAAATCACATTGCGACAATAAGTTTCATGTTTTTTCACGTCTTGGTGTTTTCAGTGACACTCAGGTCTGGAAATGAAACGTTATGGGATTTTTTTTCTCTTGTTTGTTTTAAAAGTTTTTACTCTACCGCTCAGAAGTTTTTAGAACACCTCCACTTTTCAAGTTGTTGCTGAAATTCAGTGAACTCTCAAGTGTACTCCTTTTGACCTTAGAATATGACATGAATCATTGTCTGGATGCAGAAATTCCCGCGAATAAATTGCATTTGTGTTTTGCTTTCAAATCATGCAGACCGTGCTGCTCTTTCACCATTCAAAGACACTGTCTGTTATGTTTTGGGCTCATTTCTCTTGCTGTAGGATGAACCCCTGACCAACCAACATGTCTGCCTTTGTTTCTTGCCCTTTTTCCTCACCACTCCGGCACACACGACCACTTTCTGCAGTAGAACGATGAACTAATAATCCAGCTGAGGCTAATTTTGTTCCGCACAGACAGAGGGTCTGTAAGTCGTTGGCTGTTTGCATTAACTTTAGAGGCGAACTTTGCTCCACTGCTGCAGGAAGTTCACACCGAGGCACTTTACTACGTCAATTAACAGCGTTTGAGGTTAATTGCTGGATTGAAATGGCTCAGATTTCAATCAGAGCAGGAACGGTGGAGGTGTTTCAAGGCTTTTGAGCAGGAGTGTATGTGAACACTGTCTTTTTGATATCATGTGGTTGCTTTACTCTCAATTAAAGTCAATAAATATTTTAAGAAAACGCCCGTTGGTTTGTTTTCATGTGTTTCGGTGAGGTCGCCGCCGCTTTGAGTGGCGTCCCGGCCAGCCAATCAGAGGCCTGCAAGCGGGGCGGTGCGGCCAATTGGGAGCTCAAAGGGGGCGGGGCGGAGCGGCAGTGTACGCAGAGCTGCGGCGGCGGGACGAAGGCGAACGACTGACCCGAGGTAAGCGCCGTTAAACACCGAGACCGACCGCGGGCGGCACCGTGCTCCTCCACCGGCGACGCTGGCGTGAAGCTACCGGACGCGGAGCCGCCCCCGGGGGCCGTTAAAAACCGCCGCGTGCCCGCGAACTGGGAGGATTAGCGGTTTGCTAGCGTTAGCAGCGGCTAAGCCAAGATGGCGACTCCGCATCGCCCGAGAGTGACGCAGCGGAGAGAGGCGGGCTGACGCGCGGGTTGACGCCGGGTGAAGAGTCGTTGAACTCGGGTGAATGTTGCTCCGCTGTCCGCTCCCTGGAGGAACCGCTCCTCCGTCTGGGCCGGAAGGTTTCGGGTTGTTCCTGAAACTCGGAGCGGCTGTTCTGAGTCTTGTCCGTGGGCGAGGATGCGTCCGCTCACCTGACCTACCTGCTCCCGGAGCCATGATAAATAACATTAACTTAATTAAAATGTTCCTCCAGCTGTTATTTAAACTCTGGTTCTTGTTCCAGATCAACATCCTTCAGTTACACTTTGCCTTTTTAAAAACAAGTCACCTCTGACCTTTACACCCAGTTTGTTTAAGAGCTCAATGAGCCACGTGGTTCTACAACATATTGCACAATCCCCTCCCCTTGTTTTTATTTATATTTAATTAAGTTTCCTATCTTTGTAATTGTACTTGCACAGATACACCACAGTATGTGATGTATGTGTAGAACCCGCTCATCAATAATAATAATATCCTCTGTAGTATAAAGTGTTTTCAGTCTCCTCTGCTGCAGTTGTCATTGTGTTCTGTGATCTTCCAGAGCCAGTGGCCATGTTGTCAAGTATCTGTCTCTGTCCACGTGAGACCACAGATATTCAGTATAATGTCCAGCTTTTATGAGCGTGGTGCAGTTCGTGTACCTCCCAGACAATTGTTTCGTATTTCACTATTGTCTTTGTCTGTTGAATTTCCTGAAATAACTCAAATTATGCTCTGTGTATATATATTTACTGATATTCTCCCACAGCCTGCTGCCAAATTTCCAAACGTCTGGTTTAGTCCATGTAGATGTATGAGACCAAAGATAATCATTAGTCTGTCATCAATGACAACGATCAAGTTTCAAGTTTATGTCTTATCAAGTGCAATCCCCATGAAGTGTGATCAAGTGTGATAGATAAAATGATTAAAAACGATTAAAAGAAATATAATAAGTCGTGTAATAAAAATGAGAAACTCTTTATCAGTTAATTGTTTGTATCACCGGCAGTAGATGTATCTGACTTGTTTCCTCACAGAACCTAAGACAAAAATGACTGTTGTTTTCTAAATTTGATTTCGCACATTTCGGAGAGTGAAGGGTTAGAATGTTAAAATGTCTGAAAGCTGTAGATCTGGTGATTATGCTCCACAACTTGTTTAAATCCTTTGTCTATAAAATGCCAGGAAAAAATGTCCGTTATATTTTCTCAGAGTTTAAAGGTGATATTTTCAGACATCTTGTTTTGTTAGACTGACATTTCAAAACCATAATTTGTGCAGCTGACCGTCATTCACGACAAAGAAAAGATGCAAATCCTGAAATTAGAGAAGCTAGAAAAAGGGAGGGGGTTTTGTAATTTTTGCTTGAATAAGGTTCAACCAGTTATTCATCTAAATACTTTCCTGCTTCATTTTTGTAGACTAACAATGAACAGGATTCGAATCCACGTTTTACCGTCAAGTCGGAACCGTGTAACCCAGACACCCCGACCTCAGGAGCCTCAGGCCTGCTCCTTTACCCAGAGACCATGCTCCCACCCCCGTCTGGAAGGCCTGGACTTCTGCCTCAAACACATTCTCGAGGACAAGAACGCCCCGTACAAGCAGTGCAGCTACGTCTCCTCGAAGAACGGCAAGCGCTGTCCCAACGCCGCACCAAAAGTAGAGAAGAAAGATGGGTGAGTAGAAAATGGAGTCTTGATAACACCTGATTAAAAAAAAAAAGCCAAGCAGCTTTCTGACTTCTCTGTCTCTTCCTCAGAGTGATGCTCTGTGCAGAACATGCTCGAAGGAACGCCATGGCTCTCCGAGCTCAGATGAGAAAGGCGGCTTCTGCTCCATCCCCAGAAACACTGTTGTCTCAGCTCAGTGGCTACAACCGTGCAGAGACACACAGCCTTGACGGAGGTCGGTCAGAAGGAAGTCGTGTAGTAGGTAAGTGGTCAAGTTTAGTCTGAGTAATACTTGACATGAATCTTGTGCAGGTAGGGGAGATGTTTAGAAACAAATCTGATGTTTAACGATATCCTCGCCGTGCAGATGAAGACAGTCTGAGTGAGGACGAGCAGGGACCATTGGT